CTTCTGCCCCAAAGACAGCAGGCTAAGGTGGGGACCTGAGGGGGCAGCATGCCTGTGTGTGGACAGTGGACAAGCAGGTGGCGAGGGGTGGCCTCTCAACTCAGAAGCCCCCCCCCCCCAAGGGGCCTTGAGGACACAGTGGGGGGCTTGGAGAGCCCCCTGGGGCAACATCCTGGGGAGACAGAGGACCTCCTTTGTCCCCACACTCACTCCCAGTACAGCCCGCCCAGGCTCTGAACCCTCACCTAACTCCCTGCCCTGCCCTCCCGCCTGGGGAGAGCCAGCCAATCCCCAGGTCCCAGGCCACACCCCTGGCCAGCGGTGACTCAAAGGTATATATACACCTGCGTGCAGGCCTGCGAGCCCACGCTCAGAGCGCACACACCTACCTGCTGGACCTAAGCTCCCCAACCTGGAAGACACAGGCCCGCGGCTCCCACAGCAGCCCCCACTGTGCAGCGACCTTGCCTGCCGGAACCAGTCACCAAGACAGCTTCCAGTGGCTGCCTGAAAAGGGACAACTGCCAGGTGGTCCAAGGGAGGAGCAGCGAGAGCCTCCGGGGGTTCTGGAGCCAGGCCCGCTGCCCCTGCAGCAGGCAGAGAGGACCATGCCCGCCTCCCGCTGAGTCCCAGCCTCCAGGTAAGGCCAGCACAGCAGCCCTTGCTTCTCACCTGTACCCAGAGCTCAGGTGGGGCCCTTCTCGGAAGGGTTGTGTGGGGTGCGGTGGGCACACCCCCACCTGCCGAGGCCACGACTTGGCTCGATGCCCGCCTGCTGTACCCAAGCGCGTGATGTTGGGAAGTCATGCCAGAGGCACCTGTAGCTTCATCATGACATGAGTCACAGTGGGTGGGCAATGACGAGGCTGCAGCTCCCGAGCCTCCCTGGATAGTCACAGAGCGTCACCACCACCCGGCTGCCTGCCGGGAACCCGGGCACCCTGGAGTGGGTGCTGGGACAGCAGCTGCAGGTCCAGTGGAGACAGGTTCCCTGATTAGGCCTTTGGGCTCCAGCTGGGCTTGAGAACCCCAGCGAGGGCAGCCTCCGGGGGTCATCTAGCCAGCTCGCCCTAGCTCCCTGACTGACCTGACCCACCAGAAGACGACGTGTGTCACCTCACCTGCCTTCTAGGCAGAACCTGTGGAGCCCTCCTTCCAGGGGTGCCCATAGCTCCCCCAGGTGAAGAGGCAGGGCTGGGGCTTGAGTCTAGAGGGGCTCCCAGCAGACCCCTGGACCTGGAGACAGAAGCACCCCCAGCAGGGGAGGGGGCATCTCTGGGGGGCATACATCTTTCTTGGGTGGCCGGCAAGTCATCACGGGTCCAGGTGGCTGAGCGTGAACAGCCCAAGGTCCCGCATACCCCAGCACCTTTAGTACTGCTGGACCCTGGTCACCAGCCTGAGGAGCTGGCCAGACAGGTTCCAGCCAAGGATGGGACATACCCCCCATGAAGACTGGGCCTCTGCCCACCCCTCAGGCCCTGAGCTCCCCTCACTGGGCTGGCTTGGCCCAGGCTCCTACCTCCAGGCCCAGGGCCTGAGCCCCATGCTCAGGGGCGCCTTCGTCCACTGCCAGCTCATTAGGGGGGCGGTCACTGCCTAGACAGGCCGGGAGCCACACTTACACCCACCGCCCCTTCCCAGGGCCTGTCTCCTGTGTGGGTGCAAGTGGTCTCTAAGCTAGTGACCCTGGCTCTGCCACCCACACTCTTTAAGCTGCATCTTCACCATGGGGACATGTGGGTGGCAATGGCTTTGACCTTGCAGCAGGTCTGGGGCAGAAACAGTAACCAGCATGGGGCGTGGGGTGTATTGTCTGTGCTGTTGCTCTGGCTGGGAGAGGGAGAAGGAGGGGCAGGACATCAGGTCATCAAACCCTCCCTGCTCCCTCAAAACTAGGCTGGAGGTCCGGGAGAGGTTGCTGAACTGTGTTCTTCCCTGGGGTCATGGAGACGGGCTGGGCTACAGAAGAGGGGGAGGGGGGAGAGATAGAGAGACTGGTTCTCAGGAAAGGGCAGCCTAGAGTCACTTACACCGACTTTGTTTATCCTCCAGCTTGAAGGCATGTCGTCAGACCAGCGGCTATGGCACACAGCGGTGCCTCCCCCCAGCTGGAGCAGTCCCACGGCCAGGGTGCCCAGTACTCCCAGCTCCGCCAGCAACCCCGGGTCCCCCAGCTCCACCAGTAACCCCGAGTCCCCCAGCTCTGCCAGTAACCGCAGGTCCCCCAGCTCCGCCAGTAACCCCAGGTCCCCCAGCTCCGCCAGCAACCCCAGGTCCCCCAGCTCCGCCAATAACCCCAGGTCCCCCAGCTCTGCCAGCAACCCCAGGTCCCCCAGCTCCGCCAGCAACCCCAGGTCCCCCAGCTCAGCCAGCAACCCCAGGTCCCCCAGCACTCCGGGTTCTGAGAGGGTGGCCTCTCCACTAGAGTGCTCCATCTGCTTCTCCGGCTACGACAACATCTTCAAGACACCCAAGGAGCTCGCCTGTACCCACGTCTTCTGCCTGGAGTGCCTGGCGAGGTTGGCAGCCGCCCAGCCCACCAGCCGCACTGGCAATGAGGCCATGCCCTGCCCCTTCTGCCGGCAGCCCACAGCTGTGCCCCCAGCCGGGGCCCCCGCACTGCGAACCAGTCGCCAGCTGCTAGCCAAGATGCCAGCCCACCTGCGGCGGGAGGAGCCCGTGTGGCTGGAGGGCACCAAGCTCTGCTGTCGCCCCCTAGCCTCCACGCCCGGCCACACTTCGCCGGGCTTCGTGTGCGTGGATGTGGCCCTGAGCAAGCCCCCTGAGCCCGTGCCACCCTCGCCCCCACCGGGGCCCGTGAGCCGCCGGGCCCGCCTGGCCCGCTGCTGGGCAAGGTGCAAGGACTGGAGGCGCATGGCCCTGGTCTCGGCGCTGCTGCTGGTGCTCTTCTGTGTGGTCCTGTGGCCCGTGCAGTGCGCGTTCAAGACGGGGAACCTGCGCTGCTTCCCACGGCCCCCCACGGCAGCTGTCACCGCCACCACCACGCTCCCCCTCGGACCCCTGACTGACAACTAGCCAGCCAGCAGAACAGGATCTGCACATAAACCCCAACCGCTAAGACCACTGGTCCAGGAGAGCCCCAACATCCGTGAGGACCCCTCCTAGGCCTAGGACTTTCTGAGGCCTGGTCGGACAGAACAGACATGAGGGTTCCCCAAGTCTTCCAGAGACCCGGGCTCCTAGCAGCACCCCAGAGGCCACCCACCCAACCCCATCCTACCAGTAGGGAAACAGGCCCCGAAGCGCCAGACCAAAGATGGAAGCCTGAGCCGCCCGCTCCAAGGTCAGCCACCAGCAGGGTGGGTTTATCTGGCCTGCAGTGTTCACATTTCACCCCAGGCCCCTTCCCAGGCAGGGCTGGTCCCTTCCTTTGGGTAGGTGGGCGGGGTGCCCATCCTGCCCCTCTGAGGAAGAAGCCAAGGGCAGCAAGTGGAAGGTGGGCCCCAGGCGGAGCTGCCCCTCCACTCTGCTTCGCCAACTGTATTTTTAGAATAAATTATTTTGTATCCATCCTGGTAACTGGTCCTCACTCTCTCCTGCCATCCTTGGTCCCTGAACCCCCAGCTCTATCTGGAGGCACTCCCACCCCAGGAGGAGCCTCCCAGCAGATCCTGGGGCTTGGTACCAACCAGGTTCTGGAAGTCCAACCCTCTGCCCTCCAGATGGCTGCCTGTTTCAGGGATGCAGCCCCCAGCAGTGGGCACTGGGGAGCCGGGGAGCATGGGCCCCAAGGAGGATAGACCAGCGAGGGGGCACTTTCCTCTGAAGGCAGCCTTTCCATCCCCCACCATGCTCCGGCTGCAAACCAGCACTTGGACCCCTGAGCTCCTTCCTGGGAACTGGACCTGAGGGCCCACAGCCAAGTAGGTGGTGCAGACCAGGAGGCCTGGGCACAGACCAGCCCACTGGGCCTTCAGGGACGAGGCATGACTGGTGAACAGAGGAGTGTGATCCCAAAGGGCCGGGTGGATAGGCGGGCGTCTACCCCCCTGCTCACAACCCCAGGAATCCAGCCCCACCAGGCGGGCGTGAGAGGAGAGGCTGGGCCGGTGCTGGCTCAGGCAGGTCCCAGCCTCCTCACCCCAGAGCCCAGCCACTTCCTGCTCCAACCAGCTGGGACACCATGGGTGGTAGGGAGACAGACGGCTGGGTCCCTGACAGGGCAGGGAGGACACAGATCTGAGAGAGGGACACTTTACCCAGACTTCTCTCTCGGCCACCCTGTCTGGGTTGTGAGCTAGCTGCCTTGATCACCCCACCTGTGATGTCACACCCGTCACAGTCATGCACATGGTCTAGTCACAGGTGGGACACACTCACAGGAACACCATGCATGCCTCACTCCACAAGCATTCGCTGCCGTGGGCTGTGGACACAGGGTGCAGAGCACACAGAAGCCGAAACGGTCACAGGCAGGGCAAGACTGGCCCTTCTTTGCACTAATCGCTCATGTGGCCCACGTGGGTACCAACAGGGCCCGCCCTCCCTATCACTCCACTGTGAAGTGGGTTCTGGTGGTCACTTGAAACCAACCGCCATCCCGCTGTCCCACAGCCCTGCCTCTCCTTTCTCCACTCTGGGGATCCCGGTCGCAAACACACACCCCCATTTCTGGGCAAATCTTCGTGTTAAGTGCCAGCCCTTTGAGAAAGAAGAGAGCAGGAGGCTCCTAGCGGGCAGGGCAGGTCGCTAGGTCTAATGCCCTGGACCTTGTAGGTTCTCTTGTGGAGAAAGGTTGGGAGGGCTCTCCAGCACCGGGTGTGGGCACGGGATGGCCCCCAGGTGGCCCAGGAGCCTGGGGAAGGGATCGGAAGGAAGGTGTTGGCCCGGCTCCCCCGGTGCAGCCGCGCCCCATGACCGCCCTCCCGGGAGGGGCCACTTCCTGGCCGCTAGTGCCCAGGACACCCAGGTTTGGGCGGCAGCGCTGCGCCCAAGTTCACACCATCACGCTCCGCTGGAGCTTCCGGTGGTGGCAGGGGGCGTGGCTATGGAGGTGAAGCCCGCACGGCCCCGCCCCGGCCCGCACGCGCCGCCCCGCCATTTGCTAGCTGCGCCCCTGGGGGCGGGGGCGCTCGGAGCAGAGGGAGGGGCGAGTCCACTTGGGGGGCGGGGCGAGTTCCCAGGAAGGGCGGGCTAAGGGGAGGGCCTAAGGACTGGAGGGTGGGACCAATCGCTGCTAAGGGGCGGGTCCTCTGGGAGGCGGGGCCCAGGAGGCTGGCTGGAGGGGCGTGGTCATGAGGTGGGCGGGGTCGATGGGGCATAGCACGGAGGTGCAGGGTCTGGGAGCAGGAACGGGAACAGGGGCAGGGAGGGGTAGGCGCACCGATGTTGCCCACCAGGATGTCAATCACGGTGATAGCGCCAGCGGCTGGGGCGGACCAGGTGGCAGTGGCGCGTTTCCCAGCCAAATGGTTCCGGCCTCTAATACCACACATCCTAACTGTGAGGGGCAGTGAGGGCCAGTGCCCGAAGTCCCCCTACCTCATCCAATCACTGTCCCCTTCTCCCCCTGTGGGATTATAAAGAAACTTTTCCCCAGTCAGTTGCTAGACTACTGTCTGGTCCCACCACAGGTAGGGCCCGCTCCCTGCTGTTAAGGACAGTGGGCTACTTCTCCTTAAAGGCTTGGGACTAAGCCTGGTCCCTGTAGGTGGGGTTTACACCCTATTGATAATGGTTTCTATGGAGATCCAGAGAACAGGTCAAACCTGCTCAGTGACATCCAAAGTTAGGCTGCCACCCTGATCCGCCCTTCTTGTCACATGTATACCCCAACCCCTCCCCTTCCTATTGCGTGTGTATCCCCCTCTCATTGCTGTAGAACCTATAGTGCAGCCCCTTCCTGTGACGTACGTCTTTACCTGTAATTAATGGGCTTGCATGCCCCCAAAAGATATATAAGCCTGGGTTAGCAATAAAGATCCTCCTTGTCCTCCTTCCCTCCCCCTCTCTCCTGCCCTCCGGTCTCTCTCCAAGAGGACCACCAAGCGGGGCTGAGGGGAGAGCATGCTACTATGAAATGTGTCTGACTCCGTTATTTCAGTCTCTCGTCTGGCTTAGAATCTTTACTTATTATCGCTGTACAATTGCGCCTACCGGACCCACGATGACATATGTGTGAGGGGCTGGTCACCCTGACATCCCCCCACCTCTGTATCAGCCTTCTTCTCTCCCCACCCCATGCTGATACAGGAGGCGGTGACCCTCAGCTGGCACTGGGCTTCCCTCTTGTCATGAGCACAAGCACGCAGCCTCACCCGCGATGCTCAGGCTCCTCCCTCCGCACTAGGAGCGGCACACCCCTTCTGGCCAGGACCTCCTCGGGCTATGGGCTCTCCAGGAGGCAGCACTGATGAGGCTTGGAGGTGGGAGCCCAGCCGGCGGAAGTGGCCGGCCCTGTGCAATCAGACCATGCTGCACAGACTCACCATGGCTCCGCCTTCCCGACCCTAGGACAGAGGGCCGGCAGAGAGACAAACGTGCAGCCGGACACACAGCCAAGACATCCTGGGCACAAATATGCCCAGGTGGCACCCTGGCTGTGACCTACTCTGCCCTTGCCCTCTCACCCCTGCCTACCAGAGAGCAGGCGCTGTGGGGCTGAGGACGGCCACCAGGGGGCAGCAGGTCCCCAGCAGGTGGCGCAGGACAGCCCTGCCCTGGTGCAGGTAACTCCCAGAGGGAAGTGTCTGGGCTCCGGGACCAGCCCAAGAATACAGAGGTACAAGTAGTCTCAGACCTCCCCCCACTGTACACTCAGCTGGTGCCTGGCTTGGACCTGGGGGGACAGCCCCAAGTCCCCAGGCCTGGCCACTGAGCGATGGGGAGGGCAGATGATGACCACAACCAGGCCCAGCAGACTACCCCTTGGTGGCACACACATACGCACACACACACTCATACAGACACGTGCACACATGGACAGGTTCACACACACAAACGCAGCTGTACCTGCACACATGCACGCACACACATATGCACGCACACACATATGCACGCACACACATGTGGGACAAGCCTGGTCAGGTCAGGGCACCTGCTCACCGCCCTCCCCTGACATGGTGTCCTGGTCACTCCCGGGGGCACTCCGAGGGCCTCCAGCAGCTTTGCCCCCTCTTCTTTCCCTCCCTCTCCACCCCCACAGACAGGCTGCGGAGCTGCCCAGGTTCTGGGTCTTGCTTGGGTCGCTTCCTCCTGGCGCCTGGAAGGGTGAGGCCTCTCACACCCTCGGCTTCCTGAACATTCCCTGGGCTTTTTCCAACCCCAAGGGAACACAGCCCTGCCTGGAACCAGTGGCCTGTGCCCATCACCCCACCACCACCCACACCGGGCCTGGTGGCCAGCTCTGCTTCAGCTGACTTGAAAGGGGTGGCCTTTTCCACCAGCTCTGCCTGGGGTCTGTCTGCCTGGGGTCTGTCTGCCTGGGGGGCTTGGGAAGACCCGGGAAGGGAATCCAGCCATCCAACCTCTTCCTACTGAGAGCAGTGGTGCCCTCAGTCTGACTGCCTGGAATCGAGGGAGCGCCTGGGCAGATCTGCAGCCCCTCTAAGAGCACCCTCCTGCCTAGGCCAGTGGTGCCCTCCCACACACATAATGGCCCTTTCGGGAGCTCCAGCCAGACCCCCAGGCAGCAGGCAGCTGTGCTCCCGGAAGTTGGGGAGCACAATCAAGGCCCTTGAGGCCCCCGACTCCACCCTAGGTCCCTGGGTGAACCCCTGAGCCCCTCCCCAAAGACCCCTCAAAATTGCTCCCTCTCTGCCCTTCCAGGGTCCCTTGGGCCCCTCTCCTGCTCCCAGCAGGGTGCTCCCCTACCCACATGTCAGGAAGTGTGGAGTGTTCATGGTGGCGGGGCACTGCTGGACCAGGCCCTGGACAGGGGCCATTTCTTCACTTCCACCCACTGATGTGGGGGTGGAACCGTCTGGAATAGCAGGGCGGGGTGACAAGGGCCGCGGTGGAGAATTGGCAGGAGTCCTGCCCCCCCTTCCGTCCCAGCACACACAGCTCAGACCTGCGGTGCCCGCGCTCTCTACCTGCCCCTCCTCCGGGTCCCCAGCGGCTAGAGGCAGCGTCTGTGGTTCTCACCTCACCCCACAAATCTTGGGGATCCACTAGCGATGTTTCCCCACCCTTCCAGCGCCCCTTCCTGTCTGTCTCCCACAGAGGTCCTGCCCAGCCAGAGGATCACAGCATGGCCTAAGGCCTCAAACCCACCCTCCCTGAGGCCCCTTCTCCCCATCCTGGCACACGTCGGGCTGGTCCCTGTCTGCTATGCCCCCTAGTGGCCAGCTCCACGCTCACAGGGGCTGCAACAATGAACTCAGGCTTAGGAGCAAGAACGGGATCCAGCAGCGCTGCTGCGCTCTGTCGCACGTAGTCGGAGCTGACTCAGCGGCAGGCAGGTCCCAGCAAGGAGGATTCTCCGTGGTCTGGGCAAGAAGAGGCCCACTGTGGGGTGAAATCATGGGCTCCTTCTCATGACCATGGAAGGCTCCCAGGCCAGCTGTTCCCACACACCTCCCTTCCTCAACCTCTCAGCCCAGCTCCACTGTCTGCAGACCGAGGCTGTCAGCCCCTTCCTCACCTCTCCCCATCCAGCAACACCACTGCCCTCCAGCCTGACTCTTCATTATCGACCACACTCACGGTGTAGTTACAGAATCGCCTGTCAACTTGACAACTAGAGTGAAGGGGTGGAGTCTAGCCTGATGATGCCTCCTTGTGGGCGTGGCCTTCTCATAAGGATCCTAGGAATTTCCTCTCATCCTCCCTGTTGACAAGCCACATGGAGCTATGCAGATGGCAGCCAGAGCCCTGGAGATGCATCCACCACCATTGGATCCACAAGACTTAGCAGCCACTGGCCTGTGATTTTCCTACATTTTGCATCATTGCGCACGATGCATGAGTCTGAAAAGGAAACCATGGAGTAGTATTGACATAGGGGCTAATATTGGATTTATGGACTCGATCTGGGCTGAGCTGGGATGTTTTCTCGATATACAATTGCTCTTTGATATAAAGTTATTTCTTATACATACCAGGGGTTACCCCCCCAAAAAAAAAAAAACCAAACTTCCCCCCTCCCTCCAAATTATGTATTTACTTTTTAAACAAAACAACCATATCACCTTCCAAATACTCTCCATTACACTTAATACATTTGTCAAATCTGCAACTCCATTCTTGGAAACATTTTTCAAACTCATCTGTCTGGATGGCTGACAGCACCTCCCTCACTTTTTCTTTACCTCTTCTACTCCATCAAATTGCTGTCCTTTCATGTCCCTCTGCATTCGCAGAAACAAAAAGAGGCCAGGGGAGTAAGATGCACGGGGAAAGAGAGGCATGCTGCTTTTGCCAAAAACTGATGCACTGATAATCTCCCAAGGAGTCTGGGTGGCAAGTGGGTTGAGCTTTGGACTGCTAATCAAAAGGTTGGTGACTCAAACCCACTAGCTGACCCTCAGGAGAAGGGTGAGGCCGGCTGAGTCCACAACCATTCAGTCTCCGAAACCATAGAGAGCATTCTCCTCTGCCCTAGAGGGTCCCTTTGATTTGAAATTGGCTCCATGAGAGTATGTGTCACTAGCCAATGGTTATCCACGAAGCAAGGTAAGCACCAGCCTAGTTGTGCTTACTTACAGCAATGGGAGGTCCAGGAAGGATGAAAAGGGACACAGATTACCCCGATGCTAAAATGACGGGAGTTTTTGCTTTCTCACTTAAATCGTGTTTGTTCCATGCGCCTATCATTAACACACACACACCAAAGAACATTTTGTTTTCTTTAATGAAAAACAGAAGTTGGAGAGGGCAGGTCATCTGGAAGGGGGCCTTGGGGCCACCCACCTCAGCTCCAAGCCTTCCCCCCTCACCCCCTTGTGGCTCCCATCTGCTCGGGTGGCAGCTGGGCTCCCAGCTCAACTGTCTGGGGAGAGGCAGGACAGAAAACTGGCTCTAATAACCCAGGACACAAAGGGGTCCCTCTCTGGGCAGCAACCCAGCAGCCACTCAGACCCCACCCCACCCCACCAGACTGCTCTCACAGACACAGATGTGGGCTGATATTCATTCATACACACACACACACACACACACACACACACACACACACACACACACACGAGGGTAGGCCCCAGGCTTGTGAGAGAGAGTCAAGGAGTGCCCAGTCCATGGACCTGACCCCCGAGCCCCTCTCAGCCCCTCAGCCCAGCAGAGTCCCAGTTGGTGTGACATTTGACCTGCCTGGCCAAAAGGAGAGGCTCCTCGGCCCCTGCAGGACCAGGGAAGGGCCATGAGCACACCTTGTGAAGTGGCGAGACTTTATTTCACGGTGACTGCTGACATGGTTAGTAACACGATACCAGGCAGCTCGGGGCCAAGCCTGCAGCCCTCCACCAGGAGGGCAGACCCGGGGTAGAGGGTCAGGAGGGACACAAAGCTGCAGTTTAAGGCAGTTCTGGCTCTACGATCGCCACTGCCTCCCACCGCCACCAGGGCCTGGGCCCCAAGGACACCAGCCCTCACATAGCAGCCATGGTGTCCACAGCCCTTGGCCAGGCTGGGCTGTCCCAGCTCCCACTCCCCAAGTTAAATAACATCAAACAGAGCACTCAGGAGCCAGGAGCTGAGCCCAGACCCCTGGTCCATCAGAAAAGGGGAAGCAGTTGGTCCGGGCAGGCAGGTCGGGGTGGACAATGACAGCCCCGGCCCCACTCCCTTCTGGGGGGCCTCAGTGGCCTGGGGCAGAAGAGCGAGGCTTCTCCTCCCTGGGACAGATAGCCACCGTGCCTGAAGGGCAAAGTGTGTGTCCCTGACAGTAACAATGTAAATAAGTCACAGTATTGGGCACCGGGCAAGGCAAGCCCACAGTCCACAATGCACCTCTGGAGGGGGATCAGCTCAGAGAAGGACCCTGAGGGGCTGGGGGTAAGGGCCACACGGGAGCCCCAGCACCTTCCTGGCAAGACATGAGACCCATCAGCTCTGGGGACCCAAGTCCCCACCAGAGGGCAGATGTGACATATAGCAGCCTGCCAAAGGGCCTGAAGAACAGGGTCCAACACAGGAGACACAAGAGAAACATGACACACACACACACACAGGGATAGTCGGCAGGGGCCCAGGTGTCCGTGGTGTCCGGCAGAGCCCGCTCCCCCTTCGCCCCGCCACTGCTGACCCCCAAGTCCTGGCTTTGTGTTTTATTGGCAGCGTGGCTGCCTGGCGGAAGGGAGGCCGGGCCAGCAGTCCCTCCGGCCAGCACACAGGCAAGGAAATCATATCAAAAAGCAACGAGTTTACAAAAATAGAAAATAATTACAGCAGGTGGGCGGTAGCGGCAGTGGCGGCGGCGGAGGGGGTGGCTGGCCCAGCCGGCTCAGGGGGCAGAGCATGGCTGCAGCCGGGGCTTGCTGACGGCATCCTCCAACAGGTGCAGCGGGCGCTGGCCCACCACCACGTCCCGCAGGCACCCCACGAAGCCGGTGCTATAGGCCTTGGGGAGCCCCTGGCCCGGGGGCAGCTTGTCCAGGCCTCCTGTAAGTCAGACAAAGGAAGGGTGACCCATGAAGCCCAGTGACCTCAGGACTGGGGAGCTGACCTGAAGGACTCCAATAATCTGTCTGAATCTGCCTGGCCCAGGAGCGGGTAGGCCTACCCACCCCACCACCCCAGCTCTGCTGTCCCAGACTGAGCCAAGTCAGCTCTGGCCTCAGGAACATCCCCCAGGGGCCTGGGTCTGCCCCCCACCCCCACCCTGACGCCTCCCGGCCCCCGGCCAGCCCAGCACTCACCCAGCCACAGCGCTCCGCCGGTGTCTAGCTGTGAGGCGCCCAGCGGGGAGGAACCGGTCACAGGAGCCTCGTTGCCCACCTGAAGGGAACCTTCCCTTTGTGCCCTGAGGGGTGGAAGGGAGGGTGACCTTCAGTTGGCCCAGGAGCCCTGAGGAGCGTCCCCAACCAGCACCTGACAGGACAGGGCCCCCTTCCCGACAAGAACCCCTGGCCCACACTGCTGATGTGTGCCTTCGCGTCACCCTGCTGCCCACCAGCCAGCGGAGCTCCCTGCCCACCTGTGCGCCTTCACCCGCAGCCAGCGGCTGGTGTTGACGGGCACAGTGGAGCGGAGCACCACAGGTTGCGACCCCAGGTCATAGGTCATCTGCAGGTGCCCGTCCACGATGGCCAGTGCCAGGAAGTCCGCCCGCTCCGTGGTCTTGCCGCTCCACAGCACCAGCCCCTGCGTGGCCTCAGTGCGCAGGCTCAGCTCAAAGTGGTTGCTCTGCAGTGCCTTCTCGCTGGGGGAGGAGGGGACAGCTTCTCAGGAGGGGGCATGGACCGCTCGCCACTCCTGGATCCTCGGGCCATGGCTGCCAAGGCCCCCAGGCTGGAGAGGGTGACTTGGGGTGATGTGGAAGGGCAGATGGACAGATGTGGACAGGGAGGGATGGAAATGGACCAGGACACAGATAAGACACAGAAGCAGAGGGCAGGGGTGGATGTGACAGCAAGCGGAGGGGCAGTGAGGCAGCAGGTGGGATGGCTGGGCAGCGGGGCAAGGGTGAGGATGGTGGAGAGGTGGCTGGTTCCTTGGGCACTGCCCCCATGCTCACCTGTGAGAGGCCCCGGGATCCAGAGCTTCAGGACTTTAGGCGTGGGAAGAGAGGGAGGCAGGTAAGCAGGGGACAGACAGGCCAAAGCACAGGGGAGAGTCCTGGCCACCACCTCGCCACATGCCCCAGTGGGGACACTAGGCAGCACGAGGAGGAACCCGTCGCAGGAGACACGCAGGACCCTGGTTGCTGGCTCCACCCCCAAAGAGCCCCGACAGCGACACAAGACACACATGCAACACACAGCAGGTGGCAGGGTCCAGGCTGCACGCTGCGCTCAAGAATTGCAGCACGGGGTGGCATGGGATGGAGCTGAGGGCACACCAGCCCCGGGGAGGCCCAGAGATGCTTGCACACACACACTCACACACAGACGTGTACACCCACAGCCCAGGACGTGCATGTACAGTGTAGACAGATACCCACACAGACGTGGGCGAGCGAGCACACACGCACGGACATGTCTCTACAGTAAGGGGAGTGGCTGCAGGGAGCATGAGGTGCCCTGGCCCTCAGTCAAGGGGAGCCTGGGCCTGGTGGGCTTCCTGAGGTCTGAGGTAGGAGACAGACTCTAACCCCGGCCCCATCCTCCAGCATCTGGGATGGGGGCTCAGGATGGATGTCAGTGGGAACGGGGTGGGGGGTAGCAGCTGATGGATGGAAGTGAGTGTGAAATGCAGGGGGGCCGGGAGCTACTTACGCTGGGATCTCATTGGTTAGATCGCTTGGAAACAAAGAGACAGAGAGAGTGAGGGAAGTTGTGGGGGCGGGGCTGGGGGTGGGGCTACTCCCCTGGCCAAGGGGCCTGACTGCAGACCAGCCTGTGCACAGGAAGGGCCAAGGAGACCACAGAGGGGGGGTCATGCCCTACCTCTCCGTCACAGCGTTGAGGTACTCGATGTAGGTCCGCCCGTCAAAGGCCAGCGCATCCAGGTCCCCCGCGGACTTCTCAATCAGGCCTGGGACACAGCGAGTGAAGCGTGAGGGGGCTCAGCTGGGCTTCCTGTCCCCAGGGCCCACTCCCCCGTGTCCCCCAGGCACTCACCCTTCTCGCAGTGTGGCCCTGAGAAGCCCCCAGGGCACAGGCACTCATAGGCTGCCTCCCGTGGGAGGCAGGAGGCTCCATTGAGGCAAGGGTGGCCTGAGGGCTGGGTGCAGGGGTGGTCATCAAAGGACGTGACATCCACCACTCGCAGCAGGTTCTCCTTGGTCAGCAGCTGGTGGCCTTTCAGGGAGACCTGTGGGGATGGGGGGGTGGCGGGAAGGGTTGCTCTGTGTTACATCTTACCCTGCAGGTGGCCCAACCCCAGGAAGAGCATTCCAGGTGGACAAGATCCCCAGCCAGAAACCCTGTCTCCCAACCCTGGAGAGCTCCCAGCTAGGACAAGCTCCCCAGAAATCCACCTCGCCCGGACAGATCGATCTGCCCCACTCCCCTGGAAAGTGTCCCCACAGCCTGCCCAGCCTCCCCTGGAACAGGCCCTGCCCCCGGGGTACCATCTGGATGGTGCCGTCAAAGCCAGCGGACACAGCGGCAGCCCGGGCGAGCTTGCTGAAGTCAGGGGCTCCCCCAACATAGAGCGACTCCTTCAGGTTGAGGACTGTGTGCGGCACCTGGAGGGGGCTCTGGGTGAGCGGTCTGCGGGGCTCGGCCCCCTGGCCAGGACTAGGGTGCAGGCCACCCAGGGCCCGCGCCTGGCCATCTACCCGGGAGGGAGGCAGTCAGTGGCAGGCGCGGCCCTTGCCCCCGAGTGGGGTGGGGGCTACTCTAGGGAGGAAGAGGAAGGAGAAGGCGGGCGGACGGTACCTTGCGGGATTTCTGAGATCCGAAGAGCGGGGTGGGGGTTGCAGAGCGAGAGCAGAGAGCAGGGAGCAAAGAGACCGACAGACAGACCAGCCCGGCAGCGGACAGACAGGGAGAGAAAACAGACCAGTGAGAGCCGGAGGGGCGGGGCTGCGCACGCCCAAGAGGAGGGGCTGCAATCGGAGGGGTGGGGACTCACCGGGGACTCCCCCAGCACTCGCGGCCCATCGCCCACACGCAGGGCACCCTTGCGGCCGCTGCGCTCCAGCGAGACCCGGGTCCAGGTCCCCAGGGCCACGGGCTCCTTGCTCCTGTTGGGGAGGGGGCGCTGTGAGCAGGTCCTGCCCGCCTGCTGCCCACCCGAGTACCCCTGCAGCCACCCACCTGATGACCGCCGCTCCCTTGCCCAGATCATATCGGAACTCCAGGTGGCGGCCATGCAGGGCCAGCGACACAAAGTCCCCGCGGCCGTCCGTCTTCTGCCCGTTGTACAGAAGCAGGCCATTGGGGCCCCGGGCCAGGAAGACCACCTCTAGCGCCATCTTCTCCCTGGGATGACACAGGGTCCAGCAGGGGTGGTCTTGCCGCCCCCCACCATGGCTGGACCCCCTGCTGTGTCCCCTCCCCCGCCCCTTGGCCCACTGACCCCAGGTCCCGCTCAAAGGTGTGAAGGCCTCTCAGCTCTAGGTAGGAGAAGCCGTTGAAGTCTGCCAGGAAGGGCCGGGCGTCATCCCACGCCGACGACACTACAGGGTGGCAGGTAGGGGTCACACGGGGCACCAGGGTTCCGAGCCCTGATGCCCGCCCCTGAGCCCCTGCAAACCCCCACATACCCTACCAGCTCATGCCAACCTACGGTCTCAGAATTCTCACCCAGACCTGAAACTGAACCGTAGTCCCTTCTCTCACCAGCTTCTGACCCCTGGCCCCACCCGCCCACAGGGCCCTCACCTGTCTGACAGAGGGCACCACCACGTCCCAGGGGGCATTCACACTTAACCCCGCCCTCAGGCAGCACTCGGCAGGGGGCCGCCCCGTGGCAGGGGTTGGGTAGGCAGGGGCTTTTTTCATCAGCGCAGGTCAGGCCTGAGGGGACAGACAGGGTCCCATGAGGATCCAGCCCCTGCCCGGGACTCCCAGCCCCACCCACCCACACCCCGTCCTCACCAAAGCGGCTGGGTGGGCACTGGCAGAGGAACATGTCAGCCTCCAGGGCCTGGCACGGGACACCCCCGTGGCAGGGATTGGGCACACAGGGGTCTCCTCCACACTCGTCCACGCCGACGCTGCGGACTGCAGCCCCCGGGCCCATGAGCTCTAGCTGCTGGTTGTTGATGTCTAGGAGGCGGACACAGCCCCGCAGGCCCACGCCGACCGAGGTCCGGTCCAGCACCCTGCCACCGAGGGAGAGGTCAGGGCTCAGAATCCGGGTGCCTGCAGTCCTACAGCCAGCTTCAATCCAGGCACGCCCCGATAAGCCCAGGTCGGGGGTCAGGGTCAAAGCAGCTCCCTTATACCCCTCCACCTCCAGCCTCCTTGGTGCTCCCAAGCAGCTACGCCCACACCCGGGCCTGAGTTGGGGGTTGAGGGCTAAGGGCCAGGACAGGAAGCTCAGGGCCGTGTTGACACAGGTCCTCAAGGAAGCTCCCCAGACAGGATGGGATCCGGGTCGATGGCCAGGAACCAAGGTCAGTCAGGGTCACAATCTCCTCCACTCCCAACGGCCCACCCCTTTGCTGTCCGAAGAGGAGCCCAGGTCTCTGGGATACCACCCACAAGAGAGGGTTGGGGCCGGTAGGGGTGTCTGGGGCTGGCCAGGTGAGGGTGAGAGGGAGCGGCGCTCACACAGTGGCCTGGTCCTCAGGGACGCCGCCCACAAAGAGGTCAGTGTCCAGGTTGAGGCCATCGGTGCCACTGGGACTTTCACCAAGCACGGGGGTCTCGCCATCCACAGAGAGCGTGCCCTGGCGCCAGTGTCGAGACAGCTCCAGGCGGTGCCAGCGCCCCAGCTCAATGGGCACTGAGCTGGTCAGCACAGCGGGCCCAGAGCCAGTGTCAAACCTGTGGGGAGCATGGGGGGACGCTCAGGATGGTCCCAGGGACCATGCCTTGGTCCCGTGGCTCCCTTCACCCCAGGCCAGCCACCCTGTCCTGCCCACCTGAGCTGCACATGGCCCCTCAGCAGAGCCAGGGCCAGGAAGTCCTTGCCACGGGCATTGCCATTGTACACCAGCAGCCCCTGAGGCTCCAGTGCCCGGAACTCCAGTGCCAGGCGCAGTGTGTGGTAGGCACGCAGTGTGGGGAAGGCCAGGAAGGAGCGGCCCCCAAAGGCTGGCACCATGGGGCGTAGTGCTACAGGGCAGAGGGTCGGGTCGGCCCAGGGCAGGGCAGAGAAACCCATCTGCCCGTCCCCTGCTCACCCCGCCGGGCACCAGCCCCTGCCACACCTCCCCTCTGGCTCGTGTCCCCGGCTTTGTCCGTCCCCGACCCACACTCCTACCCGTCTCACAGACGGCGCCCCCCCTGCCTACAGGGCAGCTGCAGCTGAAGGTCTGGCCCGCATCCCGGTCTTGGCAGGTCCCGCCGTGAAGGCAGGGCTGCGAGTCACAGGGCCGGTGTGGCTTCAGGGTACCCGGGAGCAGGGGCCGGCGTCCTGGCACACGGTTGGGGGCAGTCGTAGGGGGCCGACGAGTGGTGGGGAGGGCTGTGGTTCTGCTGGGCAGACGGCTGGTGTGAGTCGGATAGGGGGCCCGGGAGGTCACAGAGGCAGAGGGCAGGCGGGCAGCGGTGGTGGCTCCGGCCATGGCAGTGGTGGCTCCCGGAGTGAAGATCTCAGGAACCCAGTCTGCGGACAGAGGGGGTGCCCACAGGGTCACGGGCCGGCCAGGCCAGGGGCAGGGGCAGAGTGGAACAGGCCGGGGCATGGGCACGGCTGGGGCATGGGCAGGTCACCGTGGCGGGGGCCCGGCAGTGCTCACCGAAGTCCATGAAGCGCACGTGCTCCTGCACAGGACGCTTCACCACTAGGGCCCTGCGCCGAGAGGCCTGGATCTGGCCCAGCAGGGCTCGGCCCACATCGGACGCCCTGAAGGCTGTGGCTGGGTAAGAGGGGCCCTTGCTGAGCGTCACAGAGCGTGCACAGGGCCCCCCACCTCCTGGGAGGGCCTGGGAGCACAGGGGGCTCACTGGGGTCAAAGTGGGCCTCCACGATGGCGCGGACCGAGCTGCCTGGCCCCAGGTCCCTCAGGCGCACGCTCCGGAAGTCCTTCTTGACATCGGAATTGCGGAAGAGGTCATCCAGCTGCGGGCAGGGAGTGGGCGCACGGCTCTTGGGGGTGCTCCGGTGGGGCTGAGAGCTGTCTCCCTGCCCCCTGGCTGGCCCGGGGCACCTCCTGCCCCTGCCCCGCTGGGGCTGTCCTCACCGCACTCTCGATGCTACGCGCAGTCTCCCCAAACAGCTCCGACTTGGGGTCGGCCATCTCAGGCGTGTAGAACAGCTCCTGCCCCTCAACCCCCTCGAGCTCCAGGACACCCTGGAAGGCCCTGGTGGCTGTGGGGAAGGGGGCAGTGAGGTCCTGCCCAGAACCCGCCTGGCCTCCCAGCCAGCCTCGGGCACGGCAGGCAGCAGGCAGCAAGCCACGCGGGGGCAGGGGCGGGCGGAGGTTAGTCAGATGGCGATGAGGTTAGTGGGGACCCCTGGCGGGGACTGGCATCAGTTACCACGTAGACTCCTCGGGGCGACGCCCCAGGCTGGCTGATGACGAGAGACATGTTAGCCACGATCTGTGGCCCTACAGTGTGGAAGCTTAGAGCCCTCCACACAAGTGTGCAAAGGCCGAGACCCTACACACACAGAAGACCACCTGCAGGCACGGGCCAGTCATGCCCAGACCCCCGTCGAGGGTCTTGTCCAGCTCCCCAGCCCCACGGCCACTCACTCACCCGGGCAGTTGGAGCCCTCTGGGTCCAGCAAGGCCGTGGTACCATCTGAGCAGCAGCCCAGAGGTGAGTTATAACAGGAAGCCCGCTCGATAGGCCCCGGGGCCACAGCGCCGGGGTCCTCAGGGAGCTCCAGTCCTGGGAAGACAGGGTGAGCTGAGGCCCCGCCAAGCCTGACGCAGGCCCCACCTTCCCAGGCCCCAGGCCCCGCCCACCTCCAGAGCCCGCGCCACTGGCTTCCAGGTCTCCACTCAGGTCCTCGTCCCCACTCCCGCCATCAGCGCTGCCTGATTCGCTGAAGGCCCCCGTGGCCAGGCTGGGCAACAGGGGCGGTGCTGTGGGCGGTACGGTCAGCGCTGGCCGCCCTGTGGTCCTGGGCATGCTGGCGGTGGTCCACGGCTGCAATGAGGATCGTGGGGTGGTCCAGCTGCGGGGGCTGCTGCTAGGGACCAGGGGGAGGACGCTGGGGGGAGCCGGTAGTGCCCCGTGAGTGGCAGACCCGGCGGTGGCTGCAGGTGTCGGGTGGGCGCTCGGAGGCACGGAATCTGTCAGGAGCAAAGCCAAGGTGTGGGCAGGGCAGGGCGGCGGCGGGCCGCCCTGGCTGGTGGCAGGGCAGTGGACGCGGGACCTCACCCTGGCAGGGCCCCAGACTTTGGACGAAGATGTCCAGGCCCTGACGGCAGGCAATGGTCCTCAGCTGGCACTCGTCGCCGTACGTGATGCCGTCAGACCCGCAGACCTGCAACAGGCACAGAGGCTCGGGGCCGTGCCTGCGCACACACCCCCACCACCCACAGCCACCACCCACATCTCCTGGCACCTACCTTGGTTGCATTGGCCTCTGAGCATGTGGGTGTCGGGCACATACAGTGGGCGGAGCCAGCTTCCTCCACACACGAGGCACCGAACTCGCAGTGCATCTCTGCACAGGTCACAGGGGCCGCGGAGCCTGGGGGCACAGAGGCAGGAGTCCCCGCCGGCTGAAGCAGCCCCTGCCCCCCCACTAGGACCCACCCCAGTACCAGGAGCCTGGCCAGCACCTGGCCTCACCCTCACCTGCTTCACAGCCGGTGGGGCCCAGCGCCCGGCCGTCTGGACACTGCCCGCACTTGGGACCTGCTACCCCAGGCTTACAGGAGCACAGCCCGCTCATCTGCTCACAGTCGTCCCGCACGGCGCCTCGGGAGTCACAGCTGCAGGCTGGAGGGAAGGGAGAGCCATCTGATACCCTGGCCTCAAGGGGAGGGGATATCCTTCTTTGATGGTAGGGTCCCCTCAGCCAGTGCCAGGGTGGGGCGGAGAACCACCCCACCCACCCCTAGCCAAGGACACCGTGAGGGTGGACGCACAAAGTGCGCAGTAGGCCCCAGTCCCTTACGGGTGCAGCCACTCCGGCCATCGGTGACAATGCCACGGAAGTTCCAGAAGCCCGGCTCACAGCGGTCGCACTTGGTGCCCCCGACGCCGGGGCGGCAGGAGCACTGGCCGGAGGCTGGGTCGCAGGAGCCCCCGTAGGCGCCGTGCGGGTTACATTGGCACACGCCTGCAAGGCCAGACAGGGACATGGCTGTGTGCCCACTCGCTCCCCAGCCCCCCTGAGCTGCCGGCCGGCCGGGGCAGTACTCACTGGGGCAGCCAGCCAGGCCCACACCCTGAGCAGCGGTGATGTTGTCCTGGCAGCAGCCATAGGGGGTCTGGATGCAGTGGGGGGCGGCCAGGGGGGGCAGCGGGGCTGCAGTAGGCCCTGTGGGAGGAGCAGAATTCAAGCTGCGGCCGGGGTCCCCGTTTAGCTACTCTGCCCGTCGGAGGCCAGCTCCCACCCAAAGTTGGGGGCCTTGGGACAAGGGGCAGAGGGGAGGTCTGCACACACAGGACTGTGCACAGCAAATACAAGAGAACACACAAGACCACATGCATGGAACACCGGCGACCACGTGCACACAGAGCACACAGGACCACAGGACCACATGCACAGAACACACAGGACCACGTGTGTGGAACACCGGCGACCACGTGCACACAGAACACACAGGACCACGTGACCACGTGCACAGAACACACAGGACCACGTGTGTGGAACACTGGTGACCACGTGCACACAGAACACACACAGGACCACGTGCGTGGAACACCGGTGACCACGTGCACACAGAACACATAGGACCACGTGCGTGGAACACCGGTGACCACGTGCACACAGAACACACAGGACCACGTGTGTGGAACACGGGTGACCATGTGCACACAGAACACACAGTACCACAAACACATAGGGCCATGTGTACACAGCACCTACAGGACTCCACAGAGACCACCACCTAGTTGGAGCCTAAGTGACCACATGTACACAGAACACCTAGTCCTGTATATGTGCACATGCAGGGAGAAGACAGACCCACTAAACAGAACATAGCTGATCACATGTAAACAGAACATAAAGTACCACGAACACTTAGGGTCCTGGGCATAAAGAACAGACATGACCATGGACACATAGGACACACAGTAACCTGCACATGGAACACAATGCGGTCACTAATACAGTCTTCTGAACACAGGTGTGCCTAGGGCTATGCACACACCCAGAAGAGTGTGTGTACAAACTGTGTGCACACAGATATAGGAAACCATGTGCAGGCATTCACATGCATGCTCTGAGTCACAGCCACACATTTATACACATGCACGTGCACACGTGTGTGTGCGGGAACTAGAACAAGGGCGGTGTGTTTTCCGAGTCACCATCACTCCCACTGCCACACGCACAGGACACAGCAGCAGGGGACATGGCCTTGCACCAGGGCTGGGTCCCGCATGCATGCGTACTCAGTGACCGGCCGCCAGCCTGCTGCACTTCACTCCCACATGTACATGTCAGTGTGTGCACCCCTGCACGCACAAGACACACAGGTCCTTATGTAAATGCACATGCACGTGCCTGCACCTGGCCCACTCACCCCGGCAGGCTCCCTGAGTGGCCACGTACAATTCTCGCTGGGACTCACACCTGGCCTTCTTCAGCTCACACTCCGTGCCGTAAGTGACCCCGTCAGAGCCACAGACCTGGAAGCGGGGGAGTCAGTGAGGGTGATGTGACCCCTTCTAGAGGCTGCCCAGGGCCGGGAGACGGGCCTCACCGGGCTCCGAAGGACACTCTGGCAGCTGAAGTCACAGACACACGGCCCATCCTCTGAGTCCTCGTCCCAGATGCCACCTCGCTGCCGGCACAGGTCAGGCTCACACTCGCCGTCTTCCCCGGAGCCGGAGCCCCCGGAACCGCACTCCGCTGTGGGCGGGCGGGAGCGGCAAGTCACCAGGTGGCCCTGGCTGGAGCACGCAGGCCTCCCCTCCCAGCAGCCCAGGGGCCTACCCAGCTCGCAGGGCCCCGGGCGGGTCTCCTCGATGTGCTTCTGCTGCTGGCAGGACGCCTGGCGGAGTTCGCACGTGCTGGGGTAGGTGACCCCATCACTGCCACACACAGGGCCAGGTGGGGGGCGCTCACACCGTGGACACACACACTGCCCCGCTGAGCACACAGCCCCGAAGGCACACACCGCGTCCCCACAGGTGTCTGTCAGTGGAGAGCCTGGTCAGTGGGGCGCTCAGGCCTGGAGGCAGGCCCACCACCCGCCATGACCCCCACTCACGGCAGTGTCCGGTTGAGGCCACGTGAAGGCTGATTTGATGCGTGCAGGCGGCCACGTGCAGCTCACACTCACTGGTGTAGGTGCGCCCGTCGGAGCCGCACACGGGCTGGGCTGAGGCCACACACTCAGAGGGACACACGCAGCGCCCCGTTTCGGCCTCACACAGGGCCCCAAAGCGGCACTGCCCACAGCGGTCTGGGGAGGAGGCTTGTTACTACATGGTAAGGAGCCCCCTCCCAGATCCCCCGCCTAGCCCCCGCCCCACCCTGCCTGTCACTGACCACAGGGTCCTTTCCGCGCCACGTGCGTCTCCCGGCCGAGGGCACAGGCCGTCGCCACCAGCTCACATGCACTGCCATACGTGACGCCATCGCTGCCACATACAGGGTCATAGGTGCCTGGGCACGCCTGTGGACACTCACACGCAGCCTCGCCATTCTTCACGGCGCACGTCGCCCCAAACGGGCACTGAACCCCTTGGCAAGGGGATGGGGGCTGGCCTAGGAACAGATGTGGCGCTTAGCCACCCCTGGCCCCTCCTAAAGACAAAGCCCCCCACGCAGCAGATCCTCCCAGGTAGGGGACGGAAGCAGACGAGCGTGGGCCGGGCAGGGGGACCAGATGCACAGGACACAGCAGAGAGAGGGACACACGCACATATGACAAAGGACAGGGACACAGACCTAAGCGTCACTGGCCGCAGCCCTGGGCGTGAGGGGTGGGCGGCTGTCCCCAGACACAGGAAGTTTTGTGACTGCCCATCAGGGCCTCAGGAAGGGGCCTAGCCAGCCTCACCCCTGACACCCTTTCCAAGGGGGCTCCCCCTTATGGGTTGGGGGGGAGTCCACACCCTGAGTCACACCCAGGGCTGCATGGGGAGACGGGGTGTCTGTCAACTTGCTCTGGGGACCGCAAGGCCAGGCAGCAGCGAGCACCCCTCCCCCCAGCCGCACTGGGGGCCGACCTCGGGCTGCGGGCTCCGGGGTGCAGGCGCAGCACCTCCTCCTGCCAGCAGGTGGGCTGGAAGACACAAGAGGCGGAGCCGAGAGGGGAGGCACGCCCTCGGGGCGGAGGTACATGGACACAGAGAAAGACAGGAAGAGGGCAGGCTGCCTGCCCCAGACAGAGGAAAGGGCGGTGGGCAGAGAAGCCCCTGCCCGGGCCACAAAAGACACGCTTGACGTCCAACCTGACTCGCCTCCCCACGAGGGTGAGGCCTGGCATGTCCAACCCCCACCCCCTTCCAGGTGCTGCGCAAGGTAGACAGACATACAGACTGGCAAGACTTGAGGGCAGTGGTGGGCCTGCAGGAGGGCCCGTGCCACCGTCCCCCGAGCATCCTGAGAGCTCCCTACGTGGCTTCGCCCTGCCCAGGCCCCTCGGGTCCCGCCACACAACCAGAACCCAGGCAAGGCGTGACGCAGATGTAGATGGTGGGTGATGGGCAAACCCCAAAGGGTACAGGCTGGGTGGGCGCTCACCACACGGGCCCCGATGCCTCACAGGGATGGCACGCTGCTGCTGGCACTCTGCGTGGTGGAGTTGGCACTCGCTATCGAACGTGCGCCCGTCCTGGGCACAAACAGGCTTGTAGGCGCCGTCACAGGTGGCACGGTCACACGAGCAGTGGGCGCGGCCGCGGCGGGACAGGCACACGGCATGGAAGCGGCAGGGCTCCAGGCACTGGTCTGTCACCGGGAAGAGAACGGGGAGGAGGTTGCCAAGGACACTGGGAAGTGGCCGAGTCTTAGCTTTGCGGCGCGGGGGCACCTGCGGGCCCACCTTGTGGATGACATTGGCCAGAGCGAACTTTCTGAAGGAGGATGCCCCGGGCGGCCCCGGTGCGGCCCATCACGCAGTCGTTGTCATAGGTGACGCCGTCGTCACCACACACAGGTGCCCGCCTCGGGGGACAGCTCTCGGGCCGCAGGAGCATCTCGGGCCGCCGTGTGCGAGGGTTCACCCGGCACAAGCGGTTCGGGTCATCGGAGGTACCCTGGCAGGGATCTGGGGACAGCGGGCGGTGTCAGATCACTGCTCCCTAGGCCGCACACTCGGTGCACACACCACCGCGAAGGCATTGCTCACCACAAGGGCCATCGAACTTCTTAAAGAGGTTTTCCTGGCGGGCGCAGGCCCTGCGCAACAGCTGGCACTGGCTGGGGTAGTCAGCGCCATCACTACCGCAGACTGTGCCCTCAGAGGCCCCTGGGCAGGAGGTAGGGCACAGACACACGGCTGTCTGCCCATCAGCAGAGCGGGTGCAGGTGCTGCCGAAGCTACAGGTCACGTTGGAGCAAGGGTCCCGGGACCCTGTGGGAAGAAAGGGGTGGGGTCCAGGCAGCGGAGCCATTGACCCACCAACCCCCTACCCCTCCCATAAACCAAGCCTAGTCTTTTCAGAGCTCTACCCCACTTTGCTCCTCATTAAGCCCCACCAGGCCACGCCTCTTACAACCCCCCCGCCCCCAGCCAAATCCCTGGGTCTCACCAAACCAGGCCCCACCCCTACCGGGCCCCGCCTCCCCATCTTGTCACAGCTCATCCTGCATTAGGCCCCGCCTCCCATACAACAGGCACACACCCCCACTCAGCTCTCAAGCCCCGGCCCCGCCTCCCTTCGTGGTCCCACCCCCACAAGCCCCACCCAGCACGCCCCGCCGCGCCCCTCCTCACCGCAGGCGCCTCGGTTGAGCAGGCGGATGCGGCGCTGCTGGCTGCACTGCGCACGCTGCAGCTCACACTCATTGCTGTAGGTGGAGGCATCCGAGCCGCACACAGGTGCCACCACGCTGGGGCAGGCGCCCTTCTTGCACACACAGGCGGCTCGGCCAGGGCCCTCGGCATTCGGCTCGCACACGGCACCAAAACCACACAGCATCCCCCGGCACGCTGGAGGGAGAGGGGGAAGAGGGTGGGGGGAGGGCCGTACACCGCCAAATGGCGGGGGCCACGGTCTCATTGCCCCGTCCTGTCCTCACATCGACACACCTGAGTTGCACGCAGTCCAAGCACGGAAGCCCTCGGGACATTTGCACACACGCACACTCATGTCCACACCACAGCATGCCTGCGCTCCTCACCACCGTGTACACTCTGGGCACAGGATGCCCGCCCACCAAATGTCTGTACACACTCCCGTGCACTCGTGGGGCTCCTGTCCCCTCCGCAGCCTCCCTTTCCCACCTTTGCCTGCTTCTCCAGGTGACCTCCTGTCCCCCCCAGGTTCCCCCACCCCCCAACTCTGGAAGCGCACGCCCTGGCCCTGGCCATGCCTCTGCTGTCCCTTCCCTTCTCCCAATAACTTCTGGGAAGAGCCCTCCTCATCCTCTTCCACCACCACCACCACCCCTCACCCCTCACCCCCTGCCGCTCTCTGACATAGCCTCTCCCAGGGCACTGAACTGGCCTCCCCTGTCCCCAAAGCTGCCTCCTCCCCACCCTAGCCACCACCCCCTGCTGCCTACTTCCTGCCCACTCCTTGATCTTGCTGCCTCCACTGGGCACTCAGCACCAGAAACCCAGCCCCATTGATGGCGGCCTTTCTAGGCCTCCATGTGCCACTGCACTGCCCAAAGGTCTTCATGAGCACCGTGGGGTGACAAGAGCCGGCAACAGCCAGCCAACCAAGAGCTGGCCGTGCAGGCTTAGGCGAGCACTGATCCCCACCCACTGCTGGCTGACTGTTCCTGACCCCCAGCTGGTGAAAGAGAAGGGGGTTCAGTGAGTTTCGAGGACCAGTGGGGGGCCAAGCTCAAGGACCAATGAGCTCCCTCTGCCACCAGCAGGAACAGCCAGAGACAAAGACATTAAGATGGGGAAGCCCAGAAGCCTGAGTGTCAGCCCCTCCTGGCCACAGGCTGGGCCTCAGAGGGGGCCGGGGCCGGGGCAGGCTGGGTCCTCTAGGACCCCTACCTGGCACTGGTGCCTGCTGAACAGCCACCTATGGACTGATAGGGTGGGTCCATTAGGAGAGGCAGCTGTCTGAATCCCATAAATGTTCTATTGAAGGTAATTATCATTAATAAGTCATGGGGAGAAGGGTGGGGCTCCCCACCCACCCATTACCTCCCAGACAGCTTGGGAAACAGGGCAAGAAGAGGCGCCCCCACCCCCTATCCAAGAGAGGGAGGGCTGCGCGGGGGCCCAAGAACCAGAGGTTGCCATGACAACAGGCTGCCTTGAGCTGGCGGCTGTGTCTGTCTGAACATCCCCACCCCCACCTGCACAGACTGGGTGAAACAGGGTGGGGACTGCTTGGGATCCCCACCTGTGGTCCCTGATAACCTCTCGGCAGCAACACTGGACTACTGGCAGAGGGAGGGGAAGGGCTCGCTGTCCCCGCCCCGCCCAGCTCGGCACCCTGCTTCTTACTGCCCACTGTGCCTCAGCTCCCCATCTGTAAGCAGGCTCCGTAGGACCTCCCCATGGGGCTGTGGTGAGGTGAAATGAGCCCATTTGTACAAAGCACCGGGGTGCCCTGAATGGAACATCAGGGACTCAATCAGCAACAACAGTGGCGAGAGCTGCTGTCCCCATTTTTGCTTCAAACTCTGATCACCCCTGACCTCTTCCCCTCTTCTCTCCTGCTCTCTAGTCTTCCACCCCAGACCCCTGGCCCCTCCCAGACCCACCCAACAGACACTTACTGGTCTCCAGCTGGCCACTCCATTTGACTCCAGCTCCCTGCTGGTCACCATGACCTCCAGTCACCACCCTGCCTGGTCAGCATGTTCTCTTAGTCAATATAACCTCGTAGTCCCCAACCCCTCTGGCCAGGTCTCCCGCCACCGTGCAGAGGGTGGTGTTTGGGGGCAGGAGGCCAGTAGTAACCCGGAGGGGACTCTGGGGGCCTGGTTGCTAACCTGGGCATAGTGAAGAGTTAAAGAGAGCCCAGAGTGACCAGGGGACACTGGCCCCCAGTCAGATGGGCAGGGGCAGGTCTTGCTCCTCACTTTCCAGATCACAGGAATAGTTTCCTGTTGCCTGGACTACGACTCCTGACTACTCCCCCTCCACCCCAAATAGCAGCATCTTGTTCCAAGATTCAGCTCAGAAACTACCCCCTCCAGAAAGGCTCCCTGCCCCACCGCTCACTCACAGCTCTGCCTCCATTGCAAAAGCCGGAGACCACAGAGGCTCGGGTGTCCGGACAGAAGAGAAAAAAGGTACATGTGCAGGGAGCACACAGAAACAAGTACACATGAGATAGCATGTGCACGCAACACATTCACATATATACATCTGTTACGTGCACATACACATAACAGGCACAGAGCTCCGCGTCTACCTTAATTGGCCCATGTACCATTACACACGTGTATGCCCACGCACACATTCACACAGTTACATGCTCCCTTACGCCCATGTGGCTGAGGCACAAATGAGGTCACCTGACACAATCCCGGTGCCACAAATGGCAGTGCCACCCTGGCCAGCGCACCTCCTCACTGCTCACTGTTGCCCTCACAAACACGGGGCAACTGTGAGCAGTGAGGTCACCTCTGGGCCCTGCCATGGCCTCTGCACATGGGCCTCTGACAGGCCCCCCCACCCGGGGAGCTCAGCCCCCCACAGTCCCGCTTTCCCTGCACAGAAGGCCTCCCAAGCGATGCTGGAGGCGGTGGTGGTGGCTTTTTATAGCTGGCCTGTTGGCGAGGGGCTATATTTAACTGCCTGCTGCCCCGGGTTTGGGGAGGACGGCCAGGATGCCCAGCCCTGCCTCAGCCACAAGCCTGTGGTAAGTTGGTTTGCATGGCCACGCCGTGGCATGTAGTAGTCAGGGAATGCGTGCTGGGTGATATGTCTCTGTGGAGAGGGGGTATGTGTGAGGGGCAGGCGAAGGCCACCAGCCTCTGAAGCTTTGGAGAAAGTGGGTGTTGGGAGAGGGGAGGGCAGCCTTGCTCCCAAGCCCAATCCTAAATCTGGAAGCCTCTTGGCTTCTTGCCCAATGGCAATGGGAGCCATGGCAAAACTCTCCCCAGACCACCTCCACCCCAACCTTCCTGACTGGACAGTAGCACAGCCTCTTGTCACGGGCAGCAGAGGACTGAGCGACAGGCCCCATGCTCTTTGCCCGCCTCATACCAACGGTCACAAGTGGTGTGGTTCCTGCAGGGGCGAGACAGGGCCCCAGAGCTCACAAGTCTCCTCCTCTGACCAGGTGACTCCAGTCATGGGGAGAGGTCTTTCCCCACAGGCCCACTCTGGGGCTCTGAAGGGCTCATGGGGTAGCCCTTTTGCTTCTGTAGGGGGCACTCCTGGGGCTTCCTGCCAGACAGAAGATGAGGGGAGGCCCCTCACTGGGTCAAGGGACAAAGGGATAGAGGCCCAGACCTGGCCACCCCCAAGTCCCGGGCCTTCAACATCCAGAAGTGGCTTGGGCCAATTCTGCAAACCAGGGCCACGTCTGAGGAGAAGCGCTCAGGGGCACCCTCCAGCCCCTCACCAGGGCGATAAGCACAGCCTGGGACGTCCAGGCATATCTGCCAGGTAGGGGAGAGATCCTGAGGGCAAACCTGGGAACTCCGGTGGGGGCGGGGGGCGTGGAGCGGCCCAGGACAAGAACCTCCTTCACAGCCCCCAGGAGCCACTGGCCCCACCCCAGCCCTACTCCCCTCTGCTGGCCCTCCAGCAGTGATGCTGACAGCTTCCTTCCTTCTCTTCCACATCAGCTCAAAGGCAGCAGCCCACACACAGGGGAGCCCAGGGAGGCTGACCCCACCCCACAAAGGTCAAGCGGGCCAGCCCCGCCCTCTTGATCACCACGCCCCATCCGCTCCAGCCAAGGTCTGGACAGTTCCAGGAAGAGACCTCCACTACACACCACCTCCCAGACCCTCCCCAGGAGCCCCAGCCCCCTCCCCAGACAGCTAGCCCTCCAGCTGAGGGCTCTGGGCTCCGCCCTCAGCGTTTCTGTCTCTATCCAGAGCTGTCTCCATCTGCACAGAGTCTGAGACTCCAGGGACTGGTTCCTAATTTCATGACAGGGCCAGGGAGGCCCAGAGAAGTGAACAGGCATGGCCAGCGGTGAGCTACGCAGCCGGGAACCCTCGCTCCCTCCTCTGGCGTCCCAGCTCCAAACACACCCTACCTCCTCCAAAACTGACCCCTGCCCTCCTCCAAGCACAGACCACCCCCAAGCTGGGCCGGAGCCCTGACTCACCATCCAGAGGTCGGGGGGCTGGTGTGAAGTGGGTCCCCGGTTTATCTGGAAGAAAGAAATCACGTCAGACCCAGGGATGAAGTCCTCCAGGGTCCTTCCCTTGCCAGATCCCAGCCACTCCATGTCACTGGCTCCTCTCACCCTACCCTCCATGCCCCCACCTTCCACACCCCACCCACCACACCTTCACCCACACTACAGCACACACACACACACACACACACACACACACACACAGAGTCCTCAGTCTAGTAATGTACTTTCCTCAGCCCCAGCAGCTGAGGTGGAGACTGGAGAAGGCTGGTAACCCTGGCCCTGACCCCCAGTGACAAGGAGGCCCCTGCTTTCCTTCACCTGCCAGGCCATCAGGTATGGTGACATGCATGTCCCATCCCACCCCAAGCCCCAGTGCAGCTCAGCAGGCACCTCCCTTTCCCAACTCCTGCAGAAAAAGTTACTCTCATCAAGGGCCAG